TAGACAAGCCCTAGGAGAAGACTATGAGAAAGAAATGCTTGCAAGAATATTCCTACATCTAGGCAAGTCTTGGCAAGTCCAGAAGATTGAACTAGCCTCCAAGGAGAAATTTGGTTTCACCTTCTCTAAAACAGACCTGTTTGTTCTCTTGGTGGTCCATGGTATGTTTAAGACTCTTCTCCAGCAACACAACTCAAAGGCATTGATGATTCTTCTGTTATCCTTGGTCATTTTGCTGCTCTGTGATGCATACCAAGTAATTGTGAAGACCGTGGCCTGAATCAGGTGCACCATAGTCTCTAGACTGACATCATTGCTTCTTAGTACTCTGGCGAGGTCCCTGACAGCAGTTTCCCAGTGCAATTCATCTTTTGATTTCTTGACTGATGGTGCCAAGAGTACTGACTGTGGAGCTGAACAAACTGAAATTGTTAACAATATCAATCTCTTCTCCATCCATCATGGTGCTGCCAATAGTCTTCAATATGGATTGAAGCTCAATATGAAGAAAACAAAGATTCTCACCACTGGGCCAACTGGCAGCATCAATATGGATGGTGAAGAGATTGAGATAGTTGTCAGTTTTAGTTTGCTTGGTTCCACAATCAACACTCTTGGTAGCAGCAGCCAGGAAATCAAGAGACAAATTGAATCGGGAAAGTCAGCTGTGAGGGACCTCTCAAGAGTACTGAAGTGCAACGACGTCAGGCTGGAGACTAAGGTGTGCCTGATCCAGGCTTTGCAATTACATGCTATGCATCGGAGAGTTGGACAGTGAATAGGGATGATAGAAGGAGAATTGATGCCTTTGAGCTGTGGTGCCGGAGAAGGGTGTTGAATATACCATGGACTGCTAGGAGAACAAACAGATTTGTCTGGGAGAGGGTGAAGCCAGAATGCTCCTTGGAGTCAAGGATTCTTAAGCTTCGTCTGACATATTTTGGGCATGTTGCAAGGAGGGACTGGTCCTTGGAGAGAGACATCATGTTTGGAAGAGTGGAGGGGTGGTGAAGGAAAGGAAGACCCTCGATGAGATGGATCAGTTCTTTGAGTGGAGTGGTGGGAATGAGTGTGTTTGAGATGGCGAGGTTGGCACAGAATAGAACTGCGTTTAGGGCTTTTGTACATAGGGTCCCTATGAGTCACAAGTAACTTGATGGCACACAACAACAACAACTTGATGTTAAGCTTTTCCATATGTTAAGCTTGATGCATATAGAAGACTACAGTCTTTGAACTTCTGCAACAAACACTTCAGGTGCTCCTCAGTTTCAGTAAGCGGGTTATATCTATCTGTATTACACAGGTTGTTCATGAGTCTTCCTCCAATCCTGATGCCACACTCCTCCTCATAGAGCCCAGCCTCCTGAATGATCTGTTCCACATATAGATTGAAAAAGTATGGAGACAGGACACACCCCTGATGCACTCCTTTCCTAATTTTGAACCATGCAGTATTTCCTTGCTCTTTTCTGATGACTTCTTCCTGGTACAAGTATAGGTTTCCCATGTGCACAAGACCTTACTCATCCAATGTCTCACTTATGTTTTCACAGACACCTCCTCTTAGCTGACTACTCTTGTCAAGCAAAATTCTTGAAATAATACACACACACATACATATATAAATACACACACACACACACTCATTTCAGCAGCATATATACTAAAAAATTGGAATGATACAGAGAAAATTAGCATGGCCCCTGCACAAGGATGACATGCAAATTCATGAAGCATTCAGTATTTTTTATATGAAAGTAAGTTTGGCCTGAGGGCCTAGTGTTAATTGTGTTTGGGATGAACATTCTTCCAAGTGGTACAGCACTGGTCAGTCAATTTGCTGTACTGAGGTAACTTGGGGTTGCTGTAATACTGAACACTGTGCCACTGATGTGTCAAATTCCATAATGATTACCCATGGTGGACAGTGTTTGATAGAGCTCCCAGATTAAGAAAGGCTTGGAAGCACAAGTGGCATCCACTTCCTAAACAACATGCCTCTGGAAACTCTATGAATTTAGAGAAACGACAATATTTATAGAACAGGGATCAGGTCTTTTGTTCATAGGGTCGCTATGAGTCATGCTCAAGTTGATAACATTATCAACAATAACAACAACATGTAAAAGAGAAAACTATACTTACATTTCTACTCCCCACCTCCCTCCCACTCTTAAACCATCTGTGTGGCTTCTGAGCAGTCCCATTTCTCCCCTGCTTTTTTTTTTCTTTTTTATTCATTCACATGCACATCCCCCCCCCCCACTCCCTTAGTCCACTTTGCACTTCTTATTCCAAATTGTTGACCTGCTTTCTCCTCTGCATTGAAGTGAAATTTCATGACCATCACAAGCCCAATTCAAGAACTTTTCTTGGGGACCACGATCCTTGGTCAGTGTAGCCCAAGCACCATTTCCTAAGCCTTTACTACTAGAAATTCAACCTAGGAAAGTACTTTCTTACAGTGAGTTGGATGACCTGGAAAGGTAGCAGGTCTCTAGAAGGGATTAAAAAGTCTGTGGAGCCCTTGGAAAAGATGTCAGGGATGTTATAAAGAGAATTCAAGCCTTTGTGGGAAGTTTGGTTTCACATCCTCTAAGGTCCCTCCAGACAATGTTCTCTGAATCCCTTGCAAAGTTGGAGATGGAGGCACACAAGAACAAGTGTCTTCATCCGCTGCTTGAAGCTGAACCTCCTGCCTCTCAAGCAGTTCTGTTCCCTGAAGGTAATGGCTCCTAAAATGCCAGTGTTGCCACTTAATAGTCTCTAAAATGCCAGTGTGGCTACTTGAGAATCACCTAGAGTACTAGTTCATTGAGTAGTGTCTACAGTCTCAAAGCTTGCAAGTTACCACTATGATACTCCTGATGTTAGTGAGTTCGTCTCTATTCACTGGAAGCAATAAAAGAAGGAGAATCAGAAAATGTATTGGACTACAGAAATTAACTGCTTCCAGGAACTACTGTTCCTTCTGTCATGAGATCAGAAGACAGTTCCCAGCTTCCAACAATGAATGTCTGGGTACCTACCAAGTGAATGAGGAATGAAAGGATATGATAAATGGATCCGGATCAAAGGGAGAAAAGTGTGAAACGTGGTTTCACATTCTTAAAGATTCCAGACTTACAAGACCCATGACGACTGGAGGAATCCATGAATCTATTCCCATGAGATACTGTTTAAACCTTTAACCAAAACTATCCCCTGAAGTAATCTTCAAGTCAAACAAGTGTAGCTCAATGAGTAAAAAATAACATATGCTTTTAGTATTGTGTTCATTTAAAAGATTATATATGAGACCAAATTGATAATAAACCATTACCACTGAGTCAGTTCCAACTCTCAGGAAATGCACTGACAGGCTACACCGACCAAGGATCTTGATTCCCAAGGACTGCCGTGATCACGGGTGTGAATGTGGAAGACCCCCACACTGGAGCAGCCAGGAGATTCCACCAATCTGCTAACTTTTCAGCTAGACACTGAGTGCTTTAACCATTATACCACCAGGTGCTGTAGTAGAAAATCAGACCTAACCCAGCATCCCTGAGTTGCTTCTGACTCACAGTAAAGCCTACAGGACAGAGTGGAAATGCCCTTGAGGTTTCCTCGGCTGTAAATCTTCAAAGGCACACTGCCATCTTTCTCCTGGAGAGACAGGGAGGTTTGAATTGCTGGCCTCCTTTTTAACAACTGAGCACTTAACCAGTGTATCATGTTGTTAGGTGCCTTGGAGCGAACTACAATCATAGTGACCCTATGAACAACGGAGCTGAACCTTGTCCTGTCTTGTGCCATCTTCATCAGCCCTGATATTCACAGACCCACTGCTGCAGACACTGTTGTTTTTTTTTCTATAATTATATTTTATTAATTTTCATAAACATTTACAGAGATTTTGGGTTTCCATTCATTCATTGTTGCACTATTCTCTCTACCCTCCTCCCAGTTTGTTCTTGTCCAAATGCCACAGTGCTTGTCAAAGCCAGTTCTGATTAATTTTCTTTGTCAGTGTGTCCTTTGCCATTCCCTATCACTCCTCCCTGAGAGAGACTTCACCCTGAGTCATAAGGAAAAGGGGATGGAGACACTGTTGATGCAACTTGTGGAGAGTCTTCTTTTTGTTTAAGGACTCTCCCAGTCCAAGCATGATATCTTTTTCCAAGGCCTGGCCTCTCATAATAACATACCCAAAGTATGTGAGGTGGAATCTCACGAAAACTCCTTAAACTGACAATGCTGGCAGGAGCCATCAAGTCAGAACCAACTCACAGCTGACCTTTCGGCAGGCTGTCAGAGTTGTTAAGTCACACAGGAGGAGATTTCCTATCTTCCTCCCTCAGAGCAGCTGGTGGATTTGAACTGGGTACTTCTTACCACTAGGCCACCAGAGCTCCCTAAATTTACAATAATTAACTCTAAAGCACATATAAAAAGATGAGGGGACAGTGAGACCTGGTAAAACAATTGACTAGCAATAGTAAAAGTTTTGACACAAAAAAAGAAGTGAAGTATGTAACCTGTGCCACGGAACTCTATGTGCAGAAACTGTTGCATGGAGGTACATGTTTTGCTCTGTTTGCTTCCATAAAATGAAATATTTCAAAAAGAAATCATCACTTGAGAGAGCTTCAAAGTGCAAATTCTCAGGCCCAACCCAGCGATGGTGATTCCGAAGGATCCCTGACCTCCAGAGGCCCAGGGGCTCTGGCGAGCTGGGCACCAGTGTGAATTCAAAGGGCCAGGCCAGCCCTGCTTCTCTCATGTACCTGGCCAGCTGTCAGCTGGGATCTTGTCTGCACACAGCAGCCACCACTATTACAGCCACTTCCCTTTAGGGGTAGGAGATCAGAGGCCCAGAAAGGCGTCTGGGCTCCATGGCTTACACTTCCATCCCTTCTTCACCAACATTTCTCTTGTCTTCTCTCCATCCTGCCCAGCCCTAAGCAAAGGTCCTGGGGTAGGAGCAGCACAGGCATGAACAGGAGGCCACTCACCATGTTGATGAAAACCATGGTGGCTGGCTTCAGTCGGGAAGAGATGGGAATGGAGAAGAACCGGCCCAGGGTGATGAAGCCCCAGAAGACGCTGGGGAGGTAGCCAGCCACCTTGTGTCCCACAGACAGGGGTTTCTCCACTGCATAGCTGTATACAAAGGCGGAGTATGCCCCCTGTAGAGAGATCAGACCCCGCTGAGCACACCTGCCGTCCAGCCAGACTCAAACCCTCACAGAGGGAACCCAGGCTGGGCAGGTGTGGCAGGGGCTGTGAGGAAAAAAAGGTTCTGTTCCCAGACACTCAGTGAAGAAGGGTGGGCTCGGGGCCAAGACCACACAGGCTGAAGCTGAGAAGAGAGCAGGGGGGTGCAGCTCAGACTGCCCCTGAGGAGGGGCCCATGGCCTCCACGGGAGAGTCTGGATCTCCACAGAGTCCTGGGAAGCAGGGCAGACAGGCACTGTCCTGTGCTTCAACCATAACTGAGCTTGAATGTTGTTATATACCACTGAACAACAACTGACCCATAGCCAGTTATCCAGTGGGTTTTCAGAGCAGTGAGGCACAGGAGGAGACTGCCCATCTGTAGCCCATGGAGCAGCTGGTAGCCTCGAACCACATCCCTTTGGATTGGCAGTGCAGCTCCCTACCACTAGGCCACCAGAGCTCCCTCTTATTTCTAAGTATTCCTAGGAATTTTTTTCTTTCTGAAGGAAGGGCACCACAGCTAAAGAAATAAAGTGTGCACAAACATCTCATTTTACAGATGAGAAAGCAGAGAGAACTGACTCACCCAAGGTCACTGAGAGCTGAAAGGCAGCCGGACTCTCACGAGTCCTTGTTACTCAGTCACCTACGCTTCTCTGGGCGGCCTCCTCTCTGAACAGAGCCCCACATACGCAATCCGTTATGCAAAGATATGCTAATCTAACCTAAAAACAATTCTGAGGGATGGTACAGAGGAGCAGTACAGAGGTCACTTGAGGCAGGAATTGCTTTTGTTGGGTGCCACTGAGTGGACAGCTGGGCCCAAATGCTGCCGGAGTTGGGTACAACACTGGCTAAAGAAGTGGCGCTTGTAATGTATTCCAGGAAGCAAAGTGCCCTTGGGTTTATGTGACGTGACTTCTAATTGGGCCACTGGGCTCTGGCTCTTGAAAAAAAAAAGTGAGTAGATTATATATATACTTGCTATCAAACGAGATTGTCTCCTATTTATGACATTAATGAAAACAAAAATAATAAACAACTGGTCAGATCAGAAGATCAGATGTCCACAGTTTCAAGGGACTGTGGACACGTCTGGAAACAAGCTCCCAGAGGAGCCTTGGTTAATGTGAAGTTTTCAATCAATCAAACTACAGCTAATCGGCCAACAGGAACAGGTTGCTAGATGAGATCTCCAGTAAACCCCCTCTTCTCATGCTGCTCCCAGACTTGAGTCCCAAGGAGTCAAGAGACTTGAGTTTTGGGTCCCCTGAAAGGAGCACTCTCAGGGGGCAAGCTCACCGTCAAGCCATCTGTCATGAACAGGACCAGAGCAGCTGTGATGTGGATGGCAAAGAAGGAACTGGGAGCCCCTCTGAAGTTGGTCCTCTGGCAGCAGTTAAACAGGTCCTCGTGCCCTGGAGAAGACACCGAAGGGGCTTAAGCTCCCCCTCCCACCTCCCCACTCACCCAGGAAGTGTCTGCAGCCTAGCAGAGAGGGGACCACGTACTGTCTCCCCCTTGTTCTATCTGGCAGCCCCGTTCATCCCAGAGTCTTAGGGGAACAATGGCTGAGAGTGGTCAATTAGCTCATCCTAGGCCACACAGGCGGAGCTGGGCAGAAGGGATGCTGCAGCCAGCAGCCTTGATTGCTCCTTCTCTTGGACAGGTCGCTGGATGTCCTGTCCCGGGAGACTATCCCAAAGCGAGGGCCAAGGCCTTGTTTCCACAATCATTGCCTGTGACCAAGAGTCACCCACACTGGACCAAGGGACTGCCAGGAAACAGGCACCAAATGTCATCTCCTAAAGGACCGTGGGGCAAATCCCCAACCTCCTTTGTGTTCGGACAAAGCCAGGGTGACAGGTCCCCATCCCCCTTCTTGGCGAACAGCCCCTCACAAACCCCCTCATGTTTCTCAGACTTGGAACGTTGCACTGGGAAGGAGGCAGATGTGTTTGCTGCCCACCGGGGTCTGTGAGGACAAGCGCTCATGGGGGGGCCCACCTGAGTCTGGCTGCAGCTTCGGGGGCAGCGAGGAGGGATCTTCCATCTGCGGCTGCTGTGTCTCCAGGGCCAGCTCATCTGCAGGCAGGAGCAGGGGCATCTTCTGGGGACAGCAGGTCAGCAGCTGCTCCTTGTAGAGCAAGAACAGCACAGCCACTGGCACTGGAAGCTGGGGGCGGGGGGCAGACAGTCAGAGGACTCTGCCCCACGCAGCCTGTCCCACACCTGGCCCAGTGCACACCACACCACCACAGGCCAGTACCCACCTACTGCATCAGCACCACGCTGGAGAAGTCAGCTCTTTCACAGGACACCCACCTGAGAGCCATCTCACTGTCATGCAGTCTGAACTGACTCACAGCTGACCCTCTAGCGGGTTTCCAGAAGCTGTAGATTGTGTGGGAAGAGATGGCCCATTTCCCTCCCAAAGAGCAGCTGGTGAATTCGAACAACCAGAGAGGCGCTGCCATTGAGTCCGCATCACAACCCCCTGTGGTCCACACCAGGGCAGCCAGGGGTGATGCAATGATGGTGAGGGAAGCGGGGGCAAGTCTGGTGTAACTTCTCCCCAACCTCAGCCACCTGGTTTTCCTTGAAGGGATGAGTGTCAGATGTGGGGTCTGAGATCACCTGCGACCCAGGAGAGGTGCCAGCGAGACCCAGAACAGTGCCGGACGAATACCTCACTCTATCAAATGCCGGCAGTTCGCAAAATGCTTTAGAAACCAGTTTACCTGTGCTCATGACAATACTAGAAAAGAATGTGCTGGAGGAAATTATTATCCTCATGTTCAAGGAAGTTATCAAGGAAGTTGTCATAGTCCTACTGGAAGAGATCGGAAGGATGAACTATTAACCCGGGGGAGAGATGTGCTCTAGCGACGTGGCTGACTTCACCCCGGTAAAAATGGGACCCAGGCATGCTGGCTCTCTGTCGAGCGCTGTTCTCCCTCAGTTTCTCTCTAGGGATGTTCTATCCTAGAAGACTGTCCTCAGGAGCTTGTCGCCTAAAGGAGATAACAGTGACAAGGTCTTTCTGCTGGAAAGGGCAGACTTAGAAGCCTCACACACATGCTGGCCTGACATGAAGTTCACTGCTATTTACGTACAGTCAGTTCAATCTTCCTGGAACTCCCGAAGGAATGAGAGAACATCTCCTGCTTCTGAGGTGGCCTGGAGAAGCCTCTGGCTCCTCCCTCAGGTGCCCCTGCTGCCAGGAAGCACTTTATCACACTTAGCCTCTGTGCCTCCCGCTGCGGCTCCACTCCAGTTCCTCTTGATTAGGAAAGAGGAAGCCCCAGAAGCCGTGGAGCCTTGTTTTCCGGAGGCTGGTGGGAGCCACAGGCTAATGGGCGCCTCTGAAGTCTGTCAGGTTGACATGGGAATCTAGCAGACAGCTCTAGGGGAGCCCCCACCCCTGGGCATGCAGGCTGGCCCACTCAGGTAGGCTTCCAAGTCATAGGGGAGAGGTGACCACGACCACCCCCACTGTGTAGTTTGAGCGTGTCTCTTCACATCCAGAAGTTGCTCAAAGTCACTGAGATATACATGGAGAAACAGTTTAACTGGCAAGTATATTGTGTCTGGTTAGAAACTGTGCTGCCAGCCCAGAAGTAATAGGTTCAAATCCACCAGTGGCACCGCAGAAAGATAGGCAATCTCCTCCTATGCACTTCCCTGCCTCTGAAAAGCCACTAGAGGGTCAGCTTTGGGTCAGTTCCGACTCCACCGCACACAACAGCAACAAAAGAAAATAAAAGTTATGGTAAACTGTCAAAAACAAAAATGACCAAACAAGTCTGTCTTTGTTGAAGAGTAAACAGACTGCTCCTTAGAGGCAAGTAAGGTGGCATTTCCTCTCACATACTTTGAATATGTTGTACAGAGAGAGGGGCCCATCCCTGGAAAAGGGCATCATGCTTGGAAAGGTGAACTCAAAAGAGAAAGACAGGAAGACCCTCAATGGATCAGCAGTGATTGTAACAATGGCTGGGGCATATCTGAGGCCGTGAGGCTGGTACAGGCTACGGTAAGGTTCAGATTTGTGTTTGTAGGATCGCTATAGGTCATAGTTAACGGCACATAATAGCAACAACAATAAAAAGTTATAGTAAGAGAAAAAACCTCTCTAAAGTACTGAAGAGCAACAGTGTCTCTCTGGAGACTAGGGTGTGAATGATACAGGCCATGGTCTTTGCAATCACTTGCTACGCGTCAGAGAGTTGGACAATGACTAGGGAGGATAGAAGGAGAATTGACGTCTCTGAGCTGTGGTGCTGGAGAAGAGTATTGAGGGTACCATGGACTGGTAGGAAAACAAACAGATTCATCCTGGAAAGGGTTAAACCGGGCTGCTCCATGGAGGCAAGGATTCTGAGGCTTCGTCTGATATACTTTGGTCATGCTGTAAGGAGAGACTGGTCCTTGGAGAAGGACATCATGCTTGGGAGGGTGGAAGGCAGATGCAGGAGGGGAAGGGCCTCTGGGAGGTGGACTGATTCAGAGACTGGGGCAATCAGGATGAGTGTGTCAGAGACAATGAGATTGGCACAGAACAGAGCAGAGTTTAGGGCTGTTGTACATAGGGTCACTATAAGTCGCAAGCGACTTGATGGCACATAACAACAAGAGAAAAAAATTCCAAAAAAACCCCAAAACCACCACTCAGTGCCAGCCACAGTCTTACAGCAGCCTTAAAGCCACAAATCAGCCCTGCCCTCAAGGGGTCCCCGGTGTCTAAGGCAACAGAACCAATCTCCTCATCAGCCTGTGGAGAAAACAGGAAACCCACCCACTGAGGCCTGAAGTGGCTGATGCTGGAGGTAAAGGCCAGGAGGAAACAGCTGTGAAGAGGTGTGATCACCCAGGTGGGGCTTGGGAGGTGAGTGAATGACTGGCTGGCCCAGCACTGGAGCAGGAACACAGGAGATCTTTATGGCCAGAACCCCACTCAGGAAGGCAGGCTCTGGGTCCAAAGTGAGGAGATGCCAGGTGGGTGGGTGTGGGAGTGGGGGTGCATCCACACTGATGTGGCTCTGTTCTCTCCTGGAGGACTATTTTCAAACACAGTCAAAGGGCAAGTTCAGAAAAAACTGCTGCAAATGAGTCTCTACAATTGCCCTCCATGGGGCAAGAGAGAACAGACCTGAGGCTGAAGCTGGAAGGATCCGGCTTCCAGGTCCCCATGTCAGCCTGCTGTGCTGACAATGCTCCTCTCCCTTCTGGCCCTCCCTGGATTGTTTCCAGTCCACTGTTTCCAGAACAATGGATGGGTGCTGGTACAATAGGGCAGGTGTTTCTGAGGACTCCCAGCAAAGATTCTGATACAGGGAATGCAAAGTTAGAGACAGCAAGTTAGAAGAAAGCAAAAAGGAGCGGTGATGTGGGCAGGTGGCAGGCAGCTGAGGTCTGTGCCGGGAGTTGGCTTCCAGCCTGACCTGATTCTTCCTAGTCCCTCACCAGGCCCTTCAGCCAGTGATGGTGTGCTCGGCAGGGCTGGGTGTTCATTTTAGTGTTCTGTGTTCTCTACCATCTGCACGAGTTGGGCGGCTGCAGCAGTGTCTGAATCAGGGCCAGCCCGGCTGCCTCTCTGAAGGTAACAAGTCTGCCCAGTGTAAAGGGAGGCAGCATGGCAGTCAACGCAACATCTTCACCAACAGCCAGGCTAACAGCCCCTGGGAGAGCCCCTAACCCTGCTCCATCCAGGGCCCAAACCAGGAGGTCAGGGCTGTTCCTGAAAGTCCACCCCTAGTCTGTCAAGGCACAGGGGTCCCCACTTCCTCTGGCCTTCAACTGGGCTGACGGACAGGACATTGGCTTTAGTGATAGAACACCAGGGGAGGATTCTCTCCAGAGACCAGTGAGTACCAGGCTAGGGTGGAAGAGCAAAAACAGGGGTGAAAAGGGCCTCAGTATCTGACCAGTAAAAGAATGACAGGGTTTCTTCCACTCCGTTCACACCTACACTGCCCCACAGGCAGGGTCGCTCAGAGGCCCTCCCATCTACACACAGCTTCCTCAGGAACCCACCTAGACAGCAGGGTCCAGAAGACAGGCAGAGTGAACAGGACCCAGAGAGGAGGTGACACCCTGCAGCAGTCTGTCCTGGGGTGACTTCATCTGCCTTGACTGAAAGATATGGTATCCCCTGGACCCCCAGGTGCCTTCAAAGTTGACACTGGTTTTCCTGACTTTGTCACTCTTTGGATGTGTAGCTAGGTGAGGCTGTACCTTGGAAAGAAGCATGATGCTTGGAAAGATGGAGGGTCAGTGAGGGAGCGGAAGATACTCCAATGAGATAGACTGATGCAGTGGCTTCAGCAATGGGCTCTAGTGTCAGAGATGATAAGGATGGCACAGGACAGGGCTGGGTTCAGGTCCGCTGTTCACAGGATTGATATGAACAGTGCTTGACTCGCTAGCACCTAACAACAATAATCACCAAAGCAAAAGGCCATAGCAATCACTTGCTATGTTACTGAGAATTGGACTATGAATGAGCATGACTGAAAAACTGATGCATTTGAACTGTGGTGTTGGAGAAAAGTACAGAACAACCTATGAACTGCCTAAAGAACAAACATATATGTCTTGGAGAAGGTGCAGCCAGAATGCTCCTTGGAGGCAACGATGAAGCTTTGTCTCACATGTTTTGGGCATGTTGCTAGGTGAGGCTACTCCTTGGAGAGGGACATCATGCAGGGATGGTGACAGAGAGGAAGACCCTCAACCAGGTGGATTGATTCAGTGACTGTAGCACTGGGCTCGTGTGTGTCAGAGATGATGACAGCACAGGATAGGACAGGGTTCAGATCTGCTGTTTATAGGGTCGCTATGAGTCATAATTGACTCAATGGCACCTAACAACAATTACAATCACCAATATTACCTTTAAAAACTTGGAAAGATTCCGGAAATCTTCTTAAGATTGGGCAATAGTTTCAGCTTAACTAGTAAAAGTGAAGCAGGACGTTTTGGTGACATAGTTCCTGGAAAATGGCTCTGCGAACCCCAAGGTGGTGTATTTCTGGCAGTGTGAACCCAGCAGTGGCTCTGAGAGACAGCAGGGCAGTCTCCTCCTGTGTGATTTATTGTTGTTGTTGTTGTTAAGTGCCGTCGAGTTGTAGGCGACACATAGCGACCCTATGAACAAAAGTGCTCGACACTTGCGTGACCTTCATCCTTTCTCCAGGTTCACAGAGTTTCCGGAGGCAAGATATTTAGGGATATGGATGCCACTCCTGCTTCCAAGTGTGTGATTTATGGCCTCCAAAAATCCATGGGCGCATCAACTCGGAGTCGGTTCCACCTCAATTATAGTAAGAAAGTGAATGAGTTAAAAATTGCTCTCCTGGAGAGCATTACGTTGAGTGAACTAACTTGGTCTCATAAGGACAAATACTGCATAAGACCTTTGTTATAAAAATAAAAAGGATAACTAGTAAAATGTATGTAGGGGTCCAAAGTGGGCAAAGGAAGAGAGCAGAAGGGTGAGGATGGCCAGGGGGCAAATCACAGGGTCTCACAATTTGGTGAGTGGAGGGAGGAGGTAAAGGAGAAGGATCCGTCAGGGACCTGAAAAGATGCAGTAATGGTGGGCATAGTCTAAGGGTGATTCGTTTTATAAAACACAATGTGTGAAAGATAACGTTAATGAAGGAAAGAGTAGGGGGGCAAATGGGCATAAAAAAGCAACTTATAAAATAATGCTGTCCTGCATTAGGTACTACTGTAGAAAAAGAAAGGTAACTAGTAAAGATGCATGAGGATCCCAGAGGAGGAGGGTAGGAACAGAGGGGTCATCATAGGGTCACACGAGTTGATGAATGGAGGGAGGAGTGGGTAATGGAAATGGGAAAGAGCCAGTGTGAAAAACAATGTATATGAATGAACTCTGTAAGTAAACGAGTATAGAAGAAAAACTTTAATTTTTTTTTAAAAGCCAAAGAAAGTGCTCTCCCTTAACCATGTGCTTTTTTATTATTGTGTTTGTGTGTGTGTGTGTGTGTGTGTGTGTGTGTGTGTACTGTCAAATCGGATCTGACTGGTACAGGGGGCAATTGTTCCCCCTTCTCCAGCAGAGCGTCTGGTGGATTCAAAACCATGATGTGCTTTTAAGAATTATCTTTATAGGATCAAAGTGACAACACGGCATCTCATAAACTAAAACTGGAGCGATGCAGAGATGATTAGGATGGCCTCTGCGTAAGGATGACATGCAAATTCGTGACGCGTTCCATATTAAAAAAAAATGGTAACTTTAAAGATTAGATAAGGATCTTATAGGACAGTAAATTTATGCTAATAAAGGAGAAACAATTTCTAAAAGGTGGGTCAGAATGGTTGCACAACTTAAGGAGTAGACCCAGGGTCACTAAACTGCCCATGTGGCAATGGCTGAACTGGTATATGCTTTCCTGTGTACACTTTCCACAACAACTAAATCAACAGAAGCTGTAGTACACAAGTTAGTTATGATGGAGGGAGAGAGAAAACACAGTGCGGCCAATGTGGGCACAGCATGACCAAGTGAAGGATAACACTGAGAGGTATGAATGAATAAAGGACAATGGAAAATCCCCAAACACACACATTTCTGCGAGAGAGAACTGTGAGCCAACACACAAGTTCAATATGTGTTTGAAATAAGGTAGGTAAATTGTATGGAAGTATGTTTAAAAATTGTATTGGTATGGCTGTGGATATTCCTGCCTTTGTAAACGCTGCCCACGACTGTGGTGGTTGTGGGGTACAGTCGAGCTGTAACTGACTCACAGCTGACCCTCCAGCAGGTACCCTGAGGCAGTAAATCGCATGGGAGGAGACTTCCCATGGAGCACTTGTGGATTCAAATCCACATTTGGTTATGTGCCTTTAGGTTGGCAGCAAAGCTCTAGTAATTGTTGTATACCATCGAGTCAGAAATACCCCAAAGTGGACCCTCCGGTGGGGTTTCAGAGGCAGTTAATCACATGGAAGAACACTGTCCATCTTTCTCTCATGCAGCAGCTGGTAGACTTGAACTGCATGCCTTTGGGATTGCAGCATAGGCTTTTTTACCATTGGGCTACCAGAGCTCCCTAAATGCTTCACACCTACTCATATTTGCAATACAGCACATAGGCTGCACAGTTCTAGAACTTACTCAGCCATCAGCACTGAACTACTGCCCTCAGGAGACATCTAGGTCAACTGGCAAAAGGCAGTTCATAAATGGAATGTTCTACATCCTCATCTGGTGAGTAGCGTCCAAGGCCTTAAAAGACTAGGTGTGGTCATCTGAAAAAAACCACTGGTCCCTGCTCACTTGGAGCAAAGCTGAATGAAGGGAACAGGAGACACAGCCAGCTCTGACGTGAGACCAGAAGAACTAGATGGTGCCCAACACCACTGCCACTAACTAGGACCACAGTCTAAGACCCTGCTTGTTAGCTGTTGTAAGGTGCCGTCGAGTAGAGCACGACTCATAGTGACCCTATGAACAAAAGATCTGAACCCTGTTCTATCCTGCACCATTCTCACACTTCCTGACACACAAGAGTCCATTGCAGCAGAATGTATGTAAAAGATAGATATTTTTTTTAAAGACAAGATTACTAGATGATCATCCTAAAACCTTTTAACTTGAAACTGAAGACACTGCAGGAGACTACCTCTCAGACAGATAACACACCAGCCAATAAAAGACCACCCGGAAGAGTGTGTGCCTTAGAACAATATGAGACCAAGAGGGAAACCCAAAAATGAGAAGGTAGGGAGGAGCAGGGAAACAGGACAAATGGGAGTGGGGAACCCAGGACGGAAAAGGGGAGAGTGCTCATACACTGCAGAATCTGCAACCAATGTCACAGATCAACTTAGGGATGAGCTGTTGACTGGAAAATGGATTTGCTATGTAAGCTCTCATCTAAAGCACAATAAAATGCTTATTAAAGAAATAAAATATATTGGTAGATGCTGTTGAGTTGACTCCAACTCAAAGCAACTCTAAGAGCAACAGACTGAAAGCTTGTCAAACATTATTGTTGTTAGAAGCCATTGATGTTGTTAGAATTGAGTCCAACTCATAGTGACCCTATGAACAACAGATCTGAACCCTGTTTCTCCTGTATCCACCTCCTCATCTCAGACATATTGAACCCATTGCTGCAGTTACTGTGTTAATCAATTTCTCTGAGTGTCTTCCTCTCTTTGGCTGGCCTTTCCAAGCACGATGTCCCGTTCCAGGAATAGCTCCTCCTAGCAACGTGCCCAATGTATGTGAGACAAAGCTTGGCCAGCCTTGCTTCCAAGGAACACTCTGCTGGAGTGCTCCTGTTACATCGAGGGGAGGAAACAAAGACCTTGAGAGAGAGATCCTCCAGCCCCCTTTGTGTTCAATGAATTTGGGGCATCATTTCCCCTCCTCTGAAACAGCACCTTGCAGGCCCCAGCGTGTGTCTCAGCATTAACACACTCTGCACTGGGGGGTGGGTGGGGGTGTGTGTGGGGTGTGTGTGTGTGTGTGTGTGTGTGTGTCCGTCCCACTGTCTCCTGCTCAGCCCTGCCCTGCTGGCACTCACGTTGATCAAGGCCATGATCCAGAAGGCGTACGACACATGTGTTCCCGTCCAGCTCTCAGAAGGCGGCCCCAGGTGCGTCTGGTTGGCCCGAGGCAGGACTTCAGGGCGGTGCTGGCCCAGGACCTGGTGTGCATGGAACAGGCGGCTGCTGGAGGTGATGTTGGCTGTTCCATTGGCAGGTGAGCAGTCAGTCTCAGAGAGGAAGTGGTCGGCAATGAGGGGGCTCAGCAGTGCACCGAAGCCCACAAAGAAGTGGAGCGCCTGGAGGGGAGGAGAACAGATGTGGTTGGGTATGGTTCTGTCCCTGGCCAAGGAAGCTTGTGGCTTGGCCTTCCACCCCGATGCCTGCACTGTGCCACCGCCAACCACATGCCCTGTCCCAGGAGCCCCGCTCAGACCCCGAGCTGAAAGCCCAGAGAGGAGCCCTTTGTTGCCAGAGATCAACTATCCTCTTAGCCTGGGACAACTGTGATGAAAGTAGACAGTACATCCCGCCTCTCTTTTTTCCAAAAATTTAACCTCCAACTAAGAATCCTGGTGGCACAAACAATCTCAAAAGATGGCACTTTCAACCCTTCTTGGGGCTCTGAGGGAGAAAGGGCTGGAAATCGGTTCCTTTAAAGATTACAGCCAGAAGACTCCAGAAAGAGCACTGTGCCAAAGTGCGTGAAATTGGAGTAAAAAAAAATGTACTGGACAGCATCGAGTGGTAAATGTGGGCTGCTCCCTCAGCACCCACCAGCTATGCCTCATAAAGAGTGACAATAAAGGGAGAGGCTGGGCTGGAATCCCGAGTGTCCAGAAGAAGGACCAGAGACATACATAGGGCAAACAGCAATCCCTCCATGCACCGTTCCTGCAGGTCGCAGAGAACCTCCTCTCCCACTGGCACTTAGGATGAGAGATCTCCTCCAGGCCCCCTTCTGTTCAATGCACTTGGGGCATCGTTTTCCTATCCTCTTCCTCTGGGACAGCACCCTGCAGGCCCCAGCGTGTTCCTCAGCATTGACACGCTCTGCACTGGAAGCTGTCTGTGTGGGTGCACTGCTAGCAACAAGTGGAAGCTGCTCTCTTAACACCCACTGGCTACGCCTCATATAGAAAGCTTGACAATAAAGGGAGAAGCTGGGCCGGAATCCCAGGTGTCTGGAAGAAGGATCAGAGATATAAGGAGGGGGAACAGCAGTTCCTCCATGTACCGGTCCTCACAGATCATCCCCCACAGTGACGCTTAAAAGGAAAGGCTGGGCTGGAATCTCAAGAACAGATACACCGAGCACTGTTCAGGATGACAGAGCTGGTAAGTGGATACAGCAGGCTGAGTCCCTGGTGCCTTTCTGAATCACTACTTTGGCCCCTCAACAAAGGTTCCTGGGTGTGGGGAGTGGGTTGGGAGTAAAGAGAGGCAGTGAGGGGTGAGGGCCGAGGGACCCTCTTCCGCCACGCTCTCATGGGAGGGCTCACCTGAAGAAAGACGGCAGAGTCCTTCTGGTACATCCTCACCAGCTGCATGTTGGCCACAGTGTCGATGCAGCCCATGGCCAGGCCCGCCAGCGCCATGACCAAGGCCAGCATCTTCACGTTGCTGCAGAAGGGGATGATGACAAACACCAGCGAGATGGCCAGAGAAGAGGTGAAGAGGGCCCACAGGGACTGGGCCAGCCTGGAGCAGGGGAGAGACAGTCAGCGGTGAAGGGCACTGGGTGGCCTTGGGGAAGCCAAGGCATCTCTGCCACCCTCTGGCATGAAGGGAGAGGGAGCAGTGGAAGGGGTCTGGTCAGTTACTACCTATGGGCCATGGGAGGGAAAGGAAGTTCTTTGAATCCTTGGGTAATACAAGCAGTTAATGCATTCAGCCAGTAACCAAAAGGTTGGTGGTTTAAACCCACCCAGAAGCACGAGGGAATGGAGGAGTGTAAGAATGAGTGAATAGGGACCTAAAACTCTGTCAAGATCTTTCGAGGCTACTTTGACCAATAGGTAGGCTCCCAGTGCAAGGGCTGCAGAATTTTATCTACTGGAATTTTCTAAAGATAATGAGAGAAGAGATAGGCCAACAAGAAGGTTCTGGAAAGGAGATGTTATAGAGAAACTTTCTCATGAAAAATTAAGACTCTAGGCAGACTTCAGTCAGGGTGCTGAAATTAAAAGAGGAAAAGATGGTTGGGGTAGACAAGAAGATATCTTTGAGTTTCCAGCACATTTTTTTAAAAAGAGGGTCTCCCTCGTCTATTCTCTCTAGTGTGTGACTCTTCCTGCTGACCCCTCCTGGCTCTGACAGCCTTGGCTCCCCACAGTCGCATTCTGCTCGCTGAACCCTTATCACGCCATCTCTGCTGATAGCAGCAGTTCCTTATTTTATCTTTCCTGGCTTCCAGGCTGATTTCACATGACATTATTGATCGTGACCCCTGTTTGTTCCCAGCTCAGGAGT